TTCAATTTTGGCTTCCTCATAGAGGAAGATATCTCAAATTTTGCGAAGGTTATATTTTTTGAAATGTACAGACATTTCAAAAAATTCAAAATTTTATTAAAAATGAACCCTTTCACCGATCCTCACCAAATTCAATACCAACCATCCTTTAATGATACTCTATTTATGTAAACAAACTTGATATCTAAAAATTTGCAAAAATTAAAGCGTGTAGAGACATTTCTCAACAAATTCAGAATTTTATAAAAAATAAACCCTTTGATTGATCCTCACCAAATTCAATACCAATCAATCTTTAATAATACTCTCCATGTAAAAAATTTAACCCGATATCTCAAAATTTGTGAAAGTTAGTGTCTACAGATATTTCCCAAAAAATTCAGAATTTTATAAAAAATGAACCCTTTCATTGATCCTCACCAAATTCAATACCAACCATCCTTTAATGATACTCTATTTATGTAAAAAACATTTAACTCGATATCTAAAAATTTGCAAAAATTAGAGCGTATACAAAAAATTCAAAATTTTATAAAAAATGAATCCTTTCATCGATTCACCTCACCAAATTCAATACCAACCGTCCTTTAATAATGATATTCTACAATTCTATTTATTTAAAAAAATTTACTTTGATATCTCAAAAATTGCAGAAGTTAGAGGTTGTACAATGTACATTCCGTACATACATATATACATACATACATACATACGGACATTTAAAAAAAATATGATTTTTCGACGTTTTGGAACATTCTACACACATTGGCCATTTTCAGAAAACTGGAAAAAAAATTTCGTCACGAAAACAAAGCTTCCTCTATGAGAAAAAAATGCTCGCAAGTTTAATCCGCTTATTTCTGTTCCCTTTAACCTTAACGCCGCTTAGGTTAAGTCTTCCCTCGATTCTTTCGTCGACATTTTACTTCGAGCTAGGCTTTTCAATTCGCTTTGAACACGCTTATATTTTTAAAAAGAGTATGAAACGTGAATTTGAATAAGATCAACCGAATATGACCCGGACTTGTTTACGGTGAAATAATGGCGTTATACATATATAGATCGCGTTTAACGGCAGAAGCCGCGACACGACACTTTCGGCAGGAAATTGCACGCTCTCGTGCATCGCGCGATGCGGCTGCAGGCGCGATACCGGCATTGTCGAGGTTCCCGGCGTCGATCCGATCTGTCGCGAACGGACGAGGACAGGTCATGTTGAATTTAATGAGCTCATACGCGCCGGACACGGTTCGCCGAAGCGGGCATCCGGTGTCTTTTTCCCTCTTTCTCTCGCGGGAACCAAACGAATCGGGGAATTTCAATATCGGTTTCCCGCTGTTTGCACGTTTATCGCCCATGTACAGCTCCGAACTCATCCGAACTCTTACGTCACTTTTACGATACGTGCGTATGACAACGTGCGTAGCGGAAGATAATCGATAAGAGTATTCTTAGAGAGAGAGATAGAGAGAAACAGACTTGAAAGCCGCACATTGAGAGCATATCAAGTGTACACATTGTATATTTAAAGGCTTGACCCTCCGATAGCGTGTTATCCTCTTATCGGAGCACGCGCATAAGTATTCAACTCGCTCGTTTCGCGTTGCGTAAAAAAGGATGTTATTTACTCTCGGGAATCACTTGTAGATTAGCTACTAAAAACTACTCGTGTAGAAAGAGAAAAAAAAGCTAACATTATATACAAGCGGTTTAATGTACGCAGCAGCAGTACTCGTCGAGCGTTTCATCGAGGTCGAGACACGCCTCGTGATCTCTTCGCTGCTTAATTTCGCTTACGCAATCCGGAGAAGCGATTAGCATTTTTTCTTTTTTTTTTTCTTTTTTTTTTGCTTCGATTCATCCCAGTCGAGATGTTATTCCGCCGCGGGCGGAATTAATTTACAATTCGCGTTAAGGATCGTTTGTTATTCAATCTTTGTGTACCGCGTCATTTTCGAATACGTAAATAATTATTATCGTCACTTGCGTATTGCGAGACTGATTACACAAAGCAAGTTTATCACACGCTCGATATCTTTATTCATATCTTAAAACACGACCGATGTTAGTAATATGATGGTAAAATTTTTCAGATAAACCGGCCGCGTTTACAATCTTCGTTTATATAACTTTGTTGAAAACGCGACCTTTTTTCAAAATATTGATTATTCGAATTTATCCGGTATTTTTAGACGTGTTGTAATCGCGTGCTTAAAGATACTACGACGTTTGTTAGCATAGACTTTGTACGAAAAAAAAAAAACGACCACGTAGGCAGGTATATACACGTTCGCATTAATAGACGTGACGCATGAAAAACTTGCAACCACGTCAGCCGACTTAGCCTATATATCGATTGGCGGTTCACGTCGGGTCGCATGCTCTTTCGAGAGATTTATCGAGAAACACGGGAAATTAAACTATAGAGCTCCAGATTTTATTTTCGCATCAATTGTCCTCCGCTGGCCGGACAATCCGTTCTTCGAGAAGAGGTTTGACTCCTCCAATATACATATATATAATGTGTCCCAGAATTAAACCGACAAACTTCAGGTGGTTATAAAGGACACCAAAACAAGCCAAGCTGTTTTGGCACTAAAGAATCAAAGACTAACAAGGGCAAATATATTTGAAAAAAAAAAAATTATTTTTTCAAAATTTTATTAATGTGGTTAAATAGAGGTGTTTTTACTATGAAATGTTTGTATAAAATATTTTTTGATATCTCGAACAATTTTCGAGATATATCGAGAAAAGCAAAAAACCGCTCTACATATGAGGAGTGATTTCATTCCTTAGAATCGTTTTTAGGCTGCAACTGGAAATTTTTAAATTCATCTATTTACTACCCCTACATGTGTGTAAAGTTTCATCAAAATCAGAATTTTCGGATTCGCTAAGTTCCCGTGTAATATTACATTTGTCGTATGATAAATTTTTTAAGCATACTGATTGGCTGCAAAATAGAAAATTTCTTGAGTCTCTAGAAATTAACTGATGAATGCGCTTAAAAAGTTTATCGTCCGACAAATATAATATTACCCTAAATTTTTGGTTCTCTAGTGCCAAAACGACTTATTTGCGAACACAGGTTAGGTTTAGTGGCAAGATTGGCTTGTTTTGGTGTCTTTTAAAACCACCTGAAGTTCGTCGGTCTGATTCTGGGACTTTGTACATGATAGTTTTACAAGAGTTTGCCTCCGCGTTGCTATTTTTTCGCTTTTTTTCTTGCGATACATCGACGTTATTCGTGTCTGGCTATCGCGACTATTATCGAATCGTCAATAATTCGCACATCGTCGGTGAACGGTCAGCAAAGTGGAACGCGTAGCAACAACCTGTCGAGCGTACGTCATTATTGGGCCGATGGCCTCATCGGACGCGTTCATCTCCGTCTTTTTACACAACGAAACGTCGCTCGATCATTTAGTAGCAAGGCCGGTTTTCCGCGCAAAGACTCTGGTAATTAATCATTGTATAACTAGTTTACCGTCGTCATTTATGCGACTCGATTAAAGCGATAGTGATTAAAGCTAAGTCGCGAGAACCGCAAACCAAATGTCGGCCTGATTTCCGTTGACATTTCAGTCCATTTTTATTACGTCTCGCCGAAGCGATCCGGATTGATCAATTTGTTCGAGAAAAGCGACTAAATTGGATCCTCCAGAATCAGGACGCGATTTGGATCTTGGATTGAAATCGCAAAAACGGACACGAGATATTGGGGGTCGCGTATAGAGTCATTGATTACGTTTACATGTTACCCTTAATAGAGTTTAATAACGTCCGTAGTTCTATGGCTGGTCAATCACAGTCATTCCATTCTTCAGAGGAATAGCTGTGATTGGCCAGTTTTATAACTACGGACATTATTAAACCCGGTTAAGGGTGACATATAAATGTAGTCATTGCTCGTTTTTCCTTGTATAAGATTAACAAATTCGACACGGTCCGTGATGCGTTTGCCGATCAAGCGTGTCGACTAACGTGCCGAAAATCACTGGCACTGAACGCGCCACGCTTGTTAAGTAACAGTTACGTTCGCCTGTTTGTCCAAGGCTTGCGAAATTGTTGCGAGTAATGGCTGGCTTTCGAAATCCCGAATGTCAATGAGAGAGTCGACAGGCGCTTTCATAGTGAAATAAAAGCATTACGTTCGCTCACGCCATATTACGTATCGCGACGAGTGTCATTTTCGGAAACACCATTTTTTATAATACGATAATTACATTGCGACTTTCCAAGTGGCTTTGGGTTGTCCGAGGTCCGAGTACAGGATGTCCTAGAACTGTCGGCGTTTCTCTCGGCTGAAATTAGAGAAAGATATACGGTGGAATAAAAAATAAAATAAAATAAGAATGATTATCGAGGCGCGCATATCGATGTCTGAATATTAATCATCGGCTGAAAATCAGAGAGCCCGAACGAATCAAGTAACGGAGTGTCCTAGAACCTTACCTTCGGGGCCGCGCGCATATGATTAATAGGCTTCGATCAGTTCGATCGGAGACCGTAGCGACGACAAAGTTGAACATGTGCTTGGAAACAAGAGACGAGGCGAGCCGCGACCCGTCCTGTTATCTTTAACCCAAGAATTTTTTATAAAGTCGACCCACATACGCCGTTCGCTCGTCGTTGCCAGGTTGGGAGGCGATTGATCTGTTCCTGATAACGAGAGCCGTGTATATCCAGGCGCATAGAAAATGCCGGGTCGTTTGTTTGTCGAACGGAGACGGCCACCACGTCGTTGCCAACGGAAAATAGCCGCCTTGGATATTTTTATTGAATGCATTTCCGTTCGCGGTTTATAACTTTGCCCGCGACTATTTATAGCGTTGCAAGGATGTCAAAGTTAAAATCACATCGCTTATCACATGCCGTATTTATAGTCGACTTTGGCGCGATTACGCTCGCCAAAAGAAAATACGGCCACAAATTTTTTTCCGAAATATCGGATGCAATCGATTTGGCTTTATTGGGTTTACTTTTTTGCCTTTCAGGAGCGCAGGGTAATACGATTCCGGAAGTCGTTGCCGGGCGAGGTTTCACCGGATGGCGGCAAAACACGCGCGCAACGGGAGGTGTGGTACGCCAGGAACGTGGTTTCCTGTTTTTTGGGCTCTTACGCGCAGATCCCCGAAATTGTTCGTTACGACGCAGCTGATATAGCCAAATTGTCGGACGCCATCCGCCCTCGTCGACCAGGTAAAATTGTTTTTCCCACGCATATCGGCTGCGCCGCTCTCTCTATCATTTTTCGAAAAATATATCCAGAGAATTCTCACCAAATATTTTAACCGCATTTAAAAATTTATTCATTTCACGAATTAGTTGGAAAATTTATTCAACTCATGAATTAGTTTGAAAATTAATTAAATTTGCTCGCATAATTAGTCGCTGTCTTCGATTCTACGCATCTTGTTGGTTCTTTTTATTCTTTCGTGATTACAAGCAATTATCGAAAAAGAAACGTTCTGTATAATATCACTTTCTCCGGTACGATGTAGATTTTCAATATTTATGTGCAATCGCGTGCTGCTTATAAAACGAACAGGTGCTTTCGGATCGTAACTAGTTTCGCGTCATCTTTTCTTTTCACCTTTTTTTATCAAGATAGTCATTGACTTATTCTTCCTCGATACTCGTGCACCTGTCATCTTTTTCGATGCTCCGAATACAAATATGTAATGCGTGTCTGAAGCTTCCCTCCGGGACAGCGAGTTTCTCGTACACGCGAGGAGCCTGGAGCTGAAATTTCATCGATTTTCGCTGCAATATTGTAAACAAGAGCCGATCCGGTTGCACCTTGTTGCCGCTCCACTTGTTTTGTTCTTCTTCGGTGTGGCATAGAAAACCACTGATCGATCGATAATATCGAATTACAATATTACAGATATATCGAGTGTCCGGAGCGGAAAGAGAGCTCGTATACGAGCAGCTTTTTACATCAATTAATCGATTTCGAAAATTTATAAACGCGATGTCCTGATAAAAGTTTATCAAGTTTGGTGACTTGAATAAATTTTCGAAATTTAGAAACTCGATTATTTTCGCAAGTCAGCGGTCGAGATTGCGCGATGCATCCAGTATTGCTATCTTCGCGATTGCAAATTCACATCGAATAGCAGTTTAAAAAATGGTCGAAAAAATGGTAAAACTGCATAAACGATAACACACTTCCGATTTTAACGCCACTTAAATATATTATAGGGGAGGTCTTTTTGAATAATTCCGTGCAAGAAATAAATGGGGGACGGCATTATTGGTTTAGGAGATATAACAAATTAAAGTTTCACAGTTTTAATGCTTTTTCTCAAGTATTATAAATATTAGGGAAAGTTAAGTTTGTGTATGTTGTATTTGTTGTAGATTAGACGTGGAAAAGGTGTTTGTTTACATTTACGAGATAGGTACACGGCCATGGATATTTTATCAATAATATATTTCATTCTCGCAGTTCGTTAACAGCTTTCAACAAGTAACTACACGAATTTGTGAGTCTTGTTTTGAAAAATATTTATTGAATGCGTGGGCGAGGGAGAGGCGGAGCCCTTCCTGCTGCGCTCCCACCCCGAAAAAAAATCTAACCTAACCCAACCCAACTTTACTTTTAAAATTGAAAATAAGTTTGGGTTAGGTTAGAATTTTTTCGGAGTGGGAGTGCAGGGAGATGGGCGGAGCCCCCTTCCACGTATAAATGTCATAAACAGTTCTTTTCAATGAAAAAATAACAAATTATACAGCATACACATACTTTAATATCAAACTTTAATTTATATTTTCTAAATGAATGCCGTCTCTCACTTATTTCTTGCGGGGAATTATTCAGAATCTCCCCTACAAACATATTTAAGTAGCGATAAAATTGGAGGCGTGTTACCTTTTATGCAGGTTTACCGAAAAAATATATAAAATACGGGCAAGTATTATAATGCCATTTAATATTTTTTAGAATATTATCGAAAATTATTTCTTTTTTTTTTTTAATATTTTTTAGTATACACTGCCCCCGAAATCGTGATTGCCATCGAGATAAAAGTATACGTATAATATACACGTGCGTTATTTTCTATTACATTAATTCGCGGAGAATTAAACATCACTGTCGTATTTAATAATCGCAACGGCGATAATTATATAGTGACATTTTATCCCGACAATAACAACTTTCTATCCGAGGGAATGCGGCTGTCAAAATCACTCTGCGCGACACGATCTTTCTAGATGTAGGCGGCGAATAAACGTTCAACGATATATGAAAATCGACTCCTCCCTATTCGATAGCGATCGATGGCGACGATCAAAAACGTCATTCCATTTATGTGTCTATACCTTCACATGCGACGAACCGTATATGCGGCCGCGAGAGAGAGAGAGAGAGAAAGAAAAAGAGAGAAAGTCTCTATAATTCATAATAATATTTACCATGTCGTACAGCGAAAATCGCGTTCATTCCTTAAGAATAATTAACGTCAATTAATCGCGAGTAATTCTCGAGAAATAACGAAAGCAATTTTGCCGCTGAATAACCTACCCATCGATCGATACTGAACAGAGACTTGCAATTCGGCCAAATGTCATTGTCCCGACTGGCGCTTTTCGTTCGAACTTTCCGGAATTAAAAGAACCGCCTCGGAGGACTAAATTTACGATGCGTGACTCCAGCAGGCTGCGTGCGACCCACACATTCTCCATTTGCAGCTGCGCGCTTTCGAAAAGACGAAGTCGCCAGATGAGAGGAAGCGTCCTCGAGATGACGTTTAAAGCCAGCACTCGCGACTCCTGTATCATTGGCTCTCGCCCGCTGTCTTATCTCTTTTTAATCCTCCGAGAGATATACGTATCCCGCAGTAAATTATTTCGATCACGCTTCTTAATTTACTCTGGAATTTTACACAAAATAAACATCTTTTAGATCTACTTGGAGAGAAATCTCAATTGAAGCACATCTCGCGCTAGCCACGATACTCACACGTTCCCAAGCGCGATTAGTCACTCCTATGAAAAGGCCGCGACCCCGAGGTGTCCGTCGAGAAGGACATTTCCCTCGAACAAGCCAATGTGCGCGCGCGTAAGGTTACTTAAATATCATCTTCAACGCGAGATCAGACCAAGGACGAAAAAAATCGTCAAAGAAAATACACGCGCGTTAGATAAAACTTTAGCCAGAGACTTGAATAAATTATTTTCTTTTGATCTTTGCAGCGTGCCTTGTCGCTATAATAATCGTACCTTGTCGCTATAATAATATATAAATAATATGTAAAAATTTCCTCCCCATTTTTTGCTAACATTGATCTCCAGGAAATGGAAAAAAGAACGATACACGCGGAAACTGAGAAGAAAGTACGTGAATGAGATCTATACGAGCCTTATCTCGACTTTGTCGTTTTCGATAATAAAATGTAAAAGATAGTCTCTCTCTCTCTCTCTCTCTCTCTCTCTCTCTCTCTCCCGATGAAAAATAATGTTGCCGTTTATACATATATAAATAACAGTCGACGACGTCGGAGAGATAATGTCGGCGACAGAAAAAAGTGCGATTATTATAGTAATTAACAGAAGAAATCTGCGAGTTAATAGACACTCATACCGGTATAGATACTTTCTTCACCGTCGCGTTATCACGGTAGATTAAGCCGCGTGATAACGAGTATCTCTTAATCCCCTCAAGTGTACATTTTAATCTTAATTTGCTTCTCGTACATCCGCTTATCTAAAACCTGCGAAAAATTGATCGTCGTATATCTACGGCCAATCGATAGAATTACTCGATGATCTTTGACAAGTTGCGGTAAACAAATGTCTCATCGAAGCTTTGTTTCACGATACGTATCCTTCGGAAAAATCGCACGCTCGTAACTAGCTCCGATAAACAGTAGAGTCAATTAATTTGAAGGCGTAGAATAGTAGAAGAGAAACGCCCACACACACATTCGCTCGAGGAGAGAAACCGAACTCTATCTCGCGGAGATTTCTCGCTTACCCTCGCCCCTCGGAAGGATGCGTTTTGTTCGAGAACATTTATTACGCGCGCGCGCGCGGATTTATTTTTGAATAATGCAGCGACGTTTATCATACGCTATCGGCGAGAAGGAGATCCGCGTCCATTGTATGCAACGCGCCGACAATTTCGCGTTCTTCGTGCAACTACTTCCCTCTTCTCTTTCGTGCGAGATCGCCCCGGGCGATCGCCGTCATCCTCTCCTTATCGGATCTATCGATCGTGTGCGCGCGAGATCGGTTCTTCTCTTTCATTGGGATTATTTTAAAATATTGACGATTAATTTACCTTTACGAAACTTTATAGATTTTAATGTAATATTATAGCAATTATAACGGAGATAAGAGGAAATTGGAAAAAAATGACTTTATATTATGAATAAAAAAGAAAAGAAATTTATATATAATGTATAATTATCGCGTTTTAGCTCTAATTAACTCGATTTATTTATTGTTATTTTTTTTTCTGATCAATATTATGTGCTCGAATCATTCGTGCAAGAAGACAGTTTGTCGGTTCCTTTCTTTTATTGGAATTGGCTAATTAATTATTGATTTTATATTTAGTTTTTATTTTTTATTTTTTTTATATTTTGGTTTAAGTTGGAATAATTTTTATGTATTTTATTTTAAATTGGGATATTTTTTATGTATGTATTTTATTTTAAGTTGAGATATTTTTTTTATGTACTTGTCGTATTTTTTTTATCTTTGTGAGGTTTTTTTAGTGGAATTGGGATTATTTTAAAATATATTGATAATATTAATCTATTTTTACGAAACTTTATAGATTTTAATATAACATTATGGCAATTATAACAGAGATAAGGAAAGAGATAGAAATGGCTCTATATTACGAATAGAAAAGAAAATAAATTTATATACGTGAATTTATAATTATCGCGCTTTGGCTCTTATTAGGCCGATTTATTTCTTATTATTTTTTTTTCTAATCGATATTATAAGCTCGACTCATTCGTGCAAAGAGACAGTTTGCGTCGGTTAGTCTCTGTTCGAGATTCGAACGGTTTTCGCCGATATATTTAAACGGTAACCATTAATACGTCAAAACACGAGCGAGTAAATAGTGTCGCGTTCAGCCGATCGTGTGTTCGCGCGCTGCCCTTCAAATTGAAAAACTGTGATAAACAGCCCGATTCTCGAACGATCGGCATTGAAAAACCTTTGTTGTTGCCATCAAT